TTGTGTGTGGCTTGGTCCATCATGGCTGGGCATGCCTAGCTCCTTACACTGGAAGAGGCTTGCTGGGTCAGTCCCAGAGTCCCTTTAAATCATCTATCCATTCAGCAAAAATGCACAGATGTGCCAGGTGTGTATTGGTGCTTGGGAAACAGTGGGGACCAGCTAGCTGTGACTCCCACCTTATCCACAGACATCCTTACAGGGAAGTGATGCCAAGCAAGCAAGATGTGCAGGGTGCCATTGTAATCAAAAGCTCAGTCCCTGTCCCCAATACCAATCAGCTGACGATTTAATAATGAGGACACGGTTTTGAGAAGAAGAAAAAGAAGGTTTATTGCTTTGCTGGCAAAGGAGAAAAACAAAGGCTGTGACTCTCCAGATCAAGAAGGACAGGGGGGTTTTAAAGGAACTTCAAGAGTTACATTCCAGATGTGTTCTGGTAGGGGGGTCCCAGGGCACTCTGATAGCATGTTAGGATTCACTTGTTAATTTGGGAGATATTCACTTCCCAGATCCTCAGCAGGAATCTTCTTCCTGTAGTGTGTATATTCAAGGGTAATTAACCAGGGGGAAGAAAAGATAACATTTTCTTTCTAATCTTGTTAGGGAGGGGGAGAGGGGAGAAGAAAGGAAAAATAAATAAATAAATAAATAAACAAACAAAACAAACAAACAAACCTTAGAGTAATGAGGTCTGATTCAGAAGATGAAGGAACAACTGTTACACCATCTCAGAACATGGCTTTCCTGTTGCGTGGTACTGGCTTTAGTTTTATGCAGGTTTTTAAACAGGTTAATGTTCTTGCACTTGCCCATCATGTCCTTGAAATGAGAAGTCATGTCACACCCCCACCACCACAGTCACCTAGCCTTGGTGGTGTCCCAGTGCTCTGTTGTGAGGGGGACTTGAAGGCAGCCTCTCTGGGTAATGCAGGGAGCAGAGCCTTAGTTTTCTCCTGGGGGTTTGCCTCACCTGACAGGGTTCCTTCCAGGACAGAGTGTCCCACCGTTGGAAGATGGCCAGGCCACAGAAGACTGTGCTAGCCCTTCCTTGGAGAGAAGGTAGGTGTCCCTGTCTTGCATGGTAGAGCCCTACTCAGGGTGGCACCCATGGGGGTTGGAAAGCCCTGGCTGGGGATTTCCCTTGTATCCTACATGTGGCAAATCCCAGGCTGCCCTCTCCTCAGCCTAGCTTTGTGTCTGGGATGATGGCAGGCAGACTCAACACCATAGACTTCGTCTTATCCACAGGGGTCCAGGCAGCCACTGTCATGCCCATCTTCTTGCCTAACCTGAATCACAGTTTCTTGGACCATCCCCTGGGCCAGGGGCTCCTCCGCCCCTCCCGACGGCTCTGCAGCCCCACCTTGGCTCCAACTCCCAAGTCACCCAAGAAGCCCAAGATGCAGACCAGCGGGGACATGTTCCCCACTGACTGGAGTCCACCACCAGTAGAGTTCCTAAACCTGAGGCTACTGCAGACCCACCGGGATACCCCGGGCCAAAGGTGGGTGGGTGCTTCAGGTCCTCAGGGCCTGAGAAGACTGCCCAAGGAGTTGGCACAGGACCCCCTGGGCTTTGACCCCAAGGAGGGCCTGGGCTCACTGGAGGAGCTGTTCTGGAATATGGCAGGCCCAAGCCAGCAGGCCGCGACTCCAGAGACAAATGTTCACGCTTCGGTAGGTGGCAGCCACTTTTTGGTCTCCTGTCTTTGCTGTCCTTCTTCAGCCACCCATTTCAGTTCGTACTCTATGCCCCTCCTCTCTGCCTACCCCTTCCTCAATCATACCCATAGCCTCCTTTAGCCCTCTCCCCTTGACATCTCTGCTCTGCCACATACCCCACCCTGGGGCCCTAAGGCTAGGCTGCACCTCTTCTCTTTGTTCTGCTTCTAATTCCTGCTGACACATGTTGGGAGTGGCACCAAATTCAGTGCCATTTCTGCACAGAAGCCCCTCAAGACCTTCATGGCTAAGGTTGGGATATGGCCCTGGAGCAAGCAAGGATCTCAGTGCTGGGGTCTGGGTTCGGTTGAGCCCAGAGAGTCCGGCTGACCCTGGTCCAGCAATGGGATTCCTAATGAAAACCTCAGTGATGAATTTCAGAAAGGGAATAAAGTCCTCGTGTAAACTGTGTGTGTGGGGACCTTTAAGATCACATGGATCCAGAGACTATTCTCTAAGAATAGGGCAGCACTTGTTTGCCATAGCCTAAGATTGTCAGTAACCTGAATGTCCACCTCTAGGGAGCTAATAAAATACGTCATAATATCCCAAAAGTGGTACACATGCACCACAAATCTCTTTGATATTGATATGGAATGACTCTCAAGGTATATTTTTTGTGGGGAGAGTACCAGGAATTGAACTCAGGCACCCAACTCTGAGCCACATTCCCAGCCCTATTTTGTATTTTATTTAGAGACAGAGCCTGTTTACTGAGTTGCTTAGCACCTCGCTTTTGCTGAGGCTAGCTTTGAACTTGTGATCTCCTGCCTCAGCCTCTCAAACAAGATGTATTTTTAATTGAAAAGAACCAAGTGCAAGATAGGGTTATAGTATTGTGTTAAGAGGGGATATCTATGATGAATTGTTATTGTTCTTGTCTTTGTGTAAAATGTCTCTAAAAGCATTCAAGAAATGCCCACCTGAGTGGGGAGGGGCCTGGAAGGCTGGGGTAGGTGGTTGGGAGGCATGTTGTTGAATGCCATTATGCTTTTTTATTTTTTTTCACCATGTGAGTGTATTATCTGTTCAGAAAAGGAAGCAAAATAAATAAGAACTTAACTTGTCCCCTTGTGTCTTTGTCTTCCTTTCTTCCCATCCCCACGTTCTCTCTCTCCAGTGTGCCTCTGGGGGCTCAGAGCACTATGTCAACAGCTTGGACTACTTACTGCAGGAGAAGAGGTGAGTGGAGGGGCATGTCTGTGGGGTTGGCAGCACTAGAGCACTCAGAGCAAATCCATCTGAATGAAGCAGGCTTCCCTGAACAGACACAGTGCGCCCTGTGTGCACAGATTCATAACCAGCAAGTGGAGTGGAGCTGGGCCAAGGGTGGCATCTCTGAGCAGGGCACCTCACCCCCCACCATGGACAGCACCCTTGTCCGGGTGCTCCTTGGCTTCCTTATGCCCAAAGACTGGAGGTGTTCAGTTGGCAGGGAGTGGAAAATGGACAGGTGTGCCTGTGGCCTCAGGAGTCATGCTGGGCAGCACTTCCCCTCCCTGTCCCGCCCAGCATGGAAGCTGGCTTTCCCCTCGCAGGCTGGCTGCTCACACCTGCCCTCTCACAGTGGAGCCACACCTTGTCGCAGGTGGTTCTGGATCACTTCTGGCTGGCTTTCCCACCCTCTGTCTTCAGAAGCTTCTAGAGGCAGAATCCCCCGGCTGATGAGGATCACAGATGCATCAGGGAGGTTCAGTGGCATTGGGACCAGCCACTTTTGCTGTTGGCTGAATGCCAGCTGGGGAGGTCGGCTGGCCCTGGTGAGCCCTTGGGGTGGAAAGGCTGGACCTGCTGGCTGGAATAGACCCTCTCTCATGCTGGGAGCAGCCGTAGCAGCTGCTCCTGTGCTGGGGTCATCTTCCCAGGCTACTCTTTGATGGCATGTGAGCAGATGCTCGTGTGACCTAATTCTTCTCTGTCCCCTCTCCTGTCTGTTGAGTCATGTTTCCTCAGTGTGTGTGGTTGGGTTGCGTCTGCAGAAGCTGAGTGTAGACGGGGCAGTTTACGCTTAGGGCTCTGGCCTCACGGCTCCACTAGGCACTCAGGCTGGAGACTTGATTTTCCCAAGTTCCTCGCTCTGCCTTCTTGCCCACAGGTGGGCGTTAAACACACATGTGAGACTGATTACTGCTTTCTCTGCCTTTGTCCTTTTCTGGCCCTCTGCCTCCACCCACAGAATCGGCCTCCCTCCTCCTCCCAGCTCCTCTGACTTTTGTTTAGCTTCCTGAACCTGAGTATTTCCTCCCAACCAGATGGCAGGTTAGGGAAGGAGCCGTGTCTATGTATTTCCATGGTGCCGAGCACTGGGCCCTGAATTCATAGATGCTTGAAAATATCGACAGGAAAGTGAATGCTTGTGGAAAACCCATACCTGGCTGTCAGTGTGCCTAGCAGTGGGAGATTCTTGCTCTTTTCCGGCCTGTTCAGTAGCACACCTGGGGGCCTTTCAACAACAGGCACTTATTTCAAGTGGGAAGTTCAAGATCAAGACTCTGGCCAGTTGGGTTACTGATTCAGGTTGTTCCTGTTTTATAGACAGCCACCTTCTTGCCATGTCCTCATGTTGCAGAAAAGGAAGCTCTCTGGTTCCTCTTGTTACAAGGACACTGATTCTATTGGACCAGGGTCCCACCCTGTGACCTCATTTAACTTTAATTATTTCCTTACTCCAAATTCAGCAACCCTGGGGTTTAGGGCTTCATGAATGGGTGGGCCGAGGCGTGGACATTTTCAGTGCATGGCACACCAAGCACTGGGCCTGGGCCAGGCACTGGACATGTGGAGTGCCTGTTCACCTGGAAATGGAACAGAATGGATGTGGTATTTCCTAGTCTCTGGAGCTACTATGGGGGGCCCAAAAGAGCACTGCTTACTTAATCTGAAGGTCAGGAAAGGCTTCCTGGAGATGTTCTTGTCCTTGACCCTTGCAGGATAATAAGTTTTGTTTGGGAAGGATAAGCCCTGTGTAGAGGCAGGTGGGACAGGCCAGGCTGCTCCTGGCCAGCAAGGATAAGAGTCTCCTCATTGAGGAGTGGGAGGAAGGAGGCAGGAGATACAGTTGAGGTAGCAAGGGGGCTGGATGGCGTGTAAGCACAGGTTGAACCGTGGGAGAATTTTAAGCAGGCACAGATGTATTTAAAAAAGAACATGCTGGTGACCTTTGGAGAACTTGTGGCTCACATCAGGAAACCCTGGGAGGAGCTTGAGGGACCTCTGATAGCTCTGTGGCCTGAGTAGCCGGGAAGTGGGGGCCTTTGTGGGAAAGAGGAAGGCACACTTGGCCATATCACACTCAGCTGGAAATCATCTATTTAGTGGTAATAGAAGGATCTGAGCACAAGAGAGAGGCCTGGGTTGGAGAGAGAATATTTCAGAACTGATAGCCCATGGTACTTGATAGCCCATGCTGCTGCTGCAGCACCACCCTGACTTCACCTGGGATCTCCTGGCAGGTACTTGGAGGGGCTAGAGTGGGGCTGGGGAGGCACGGACAGTGGAAGCTGCAGGACAGCTTGCTGCCCACTCAGGATTTGCAGAGTGGTTAGGGAATGTCTTGGGCCGTTTTCTGTTGTAGAAGTAGAATAGCTGAGATGGGGTGATTGTAAAGACCAGGGTATTTTGGCTTGAAGCACTGGAGGTCCACAAGCACCTGCCAGCATCTGGTGAGAGCCTCGTGCTGCTGCATGTGTGGCGGGAAGGTGGGGGCCACACAGAAGAGAAAAGGGGCAGAGCTCCCGTGAGAGCCAAGAAGAGCTTAGTCTTTCAGAGGCCGTACCCCCTCGACTAGCACCTCTTACAGGGCTTCCACCTCTCAGTACTATCACACTGGCCTTCAGATTTCAGCATGAGTTTTGTTGGAGCCAAGTCATAATCAAACCACAGCATGGAGTCAGAGCCCCAGCAAGATAATGGTGCACACAAGGGGCCTGTGGTCACAACTGGTTGGAAGTAAACAGGGCTCCAGGCTACTGAAGGACAAGGGACAAAGGGTTGGGAGATACAGGGAGTGAGCAGGGGCTGGAGGGCTCTTGCTATCTGTGACTGGAGAGCCAGACAGTGAGTCAGGGACACCAAGGAGTCCAGGGTGTGGTTCTGCCCGGCTGTGCAGCTGGACCTGTGCGAGCAGAAGAGCCAGGCTCAGGCCTAGTGTGTTTAAAAAAAAAAAAAAGAGTGAACTCCAAAACAATGTCCACGAAGCTACACATAACATTGAGTGTCCGAACCCATCTTCCTTCAGGCTTATCAACTCATCTCTTCTCACTGGAGGCAGCACAGTGTGTGGATGCAGTGACTCCCACACCCCGCAAACTCAGACCCGGGTGCCTTCCTGCAGGGAGACCAGGGTGACTCGGCCTCTGCTTCCTAGCCTTGTGGGTGTATAGGGGTGCTTACAGCCTGGTGACAGGCTCTGGCTTCTTCCCCACAGGGAGCAGGCCCGGGAGCAGGAGCAGGAGAAGCTGCTGCTGCAGCACCACCGTGACTTCACCTCAGATCTCAATGAAGACGAAGTGCCGCTGGCCCCCGAACACAGGTGCTGGGCCGGGGCCTCCTGCAGGTGTGGTCAGAATTTCAACTAGCAATTTGTAGGCCGTTCTTGAGCTCTAAAGCAGAATCCTACTCTTATAGCCACATTTATTCATTGATTCAAGAAATATCTGATCAGCTGGTGGGCATCAGGGTCCAGTCTGGCCTTAGAGGACACAGATCATAAAACACAGCCCAGTTAACTGTCCAAGTTCACAAAACCAGATCGCTTTGGAAAATAGCTACACGAAACCACATAACTGAAAACTGCCTTTCAAGGGGGATTATGGCCACATGACTTTTTTTTTTTTAAATCTTCCTGTCTGGGGAAAGAAAGTGACTTTTTCAGTGCTTTCATCTGGGTCAAGACTGTGTTGGCCCTGGTTTAATTGGGCTGTTGGCTGGAGAGAGATCTGGATTCATTTGTACAACAGGGTCTGGGTCTTGGAGATGCCTGAGGACCACAGTTGAATCCTTGTTCTTTTTTTTCCATACTGGGGATTGAACACACAGGCACATAACCACTGAGACACTTCCCTAGCACTTTTTATATTTTATTTAGAGACAGGGTCTTGCTAAGTTGCTTAGGGCCTGACTAAGTTGTTGCTGAGGCTGGCTTTGAACTCATGATCCTCCTGCCTCAGCCTCCCTAACTGCTGGGATTATAGACGTGTGCCACTGTTCCAGGCTTGAATCTGTCTTTAGGGTCTACTGTTTTCTATCTGCCTTATTTTTTTGAGCTGCTGTGGCAGAGCACCATGGAATAGGTGACTTGTGAAGAACAGAAATGTTTCTCAAGCTCTGGAGACTGGGAGTCCAAGACCAGGGTGCCCGGATGCTCAGGCTGCACAGGGGGCCCTCTTCCAGGCTGCAGAGCACTGATGTCTTGAGTCCTCACTTGGCAGAAGAGGGCTAGAGAGCTCTCACTAGTCCTGTTCACAGCGGCCCCAAACTCATGATCTGATCCCCTCCCACAGGCCCCATCTCCCAGTTACCTTGAGGGTTGGGATTCCAACATCTGAATTTTGGAGAGACACATTCAGTCTATCACACCATCCATCCACCCATTTGTCCATCCACTCATGCATTCATCCAACAGATGTTTATAGAGTACCAACCTGTGCCAGGCGGCTAGATCCTGAGGATGTAGCAGGAGTGAAACCAGCCTGCTGTCTGCCCTGACGTCGCTGGAGTCAGGGTAGGGAGAGGAACAGTGAACAAGGTAAACGCAGCCGTGACAAGTGCTCAGGAGAGGAGGGTGCACAGAGGCCATACGGGAGTTTGAAGGAGGAAGGCGCAGAAGTCTTCCATGAGAAGGTGGCTTTCAGGAGACCCCTGAGAGGGGAGAGAAGCTCGTGCCTGTGGTGGGAGTGCTCCTAGCATGTTGGGAGCAGTGGGTGGGGGCCAGGAGGTTGGGGAGGCCGGTGGTGGGCACCTACTTCACAACTCTTCCCCCCCGCGTGAGCTTCCACAGCTGACGTGACGTGCATCCAGAGGAGGCACCTGTGGCTACTCTGTTGGGTGGGCTGTGAGGACAGGCAAGGGCAGCAGGGAAAGAGCAATGAGAGTGTGCTGGGAAAACTAAAGCATAAGCATCCTTTCCCTCTGTTGTCACCACAATCAGCTCAGGAGATGTGACTGTCCTCCCCGCCCCAAAGGCAGGGACCCCACAGGGTGCCCTCAGGCCAACTCAGCTCTGACTCCACCTGCCCAGAGATAGTGGCTGATCCCACAAGGGGAGGGCTCAGCCACAGGACTGCTGGCGCCTCCGTGCCATCGCAATGCTGGCTGCTGCACTGTCCCCCAGTGACCAGGCATAAGTCAGGCTTCCTGCAAGCCCTCCTTGGGTTTGGCTTGACTTGCTGGTGGCTCAAAGAACTCAGGGAAATGTGTGTTGCCCAGTTTACTGTGAAGAATGTTAAAAAGGATGCAGTTGAAGAGGTGCTGAGTGAGGTTGGGGCAGGCGCAGCATCCAGCCCTCCCTGGGCAGCCGCCCTCCAGGGACCTCCACACGTTCAGCCCTCCAGAAGCTCTCTGGACCCACGTCCTTCTGGGTTTTCTGGAAGCTTCGTGGCATAGACAAGATTTCTGATAGACCAGGTGGGGAAGCCCAGCGAGGGCTGTGTGGTCAGCTGCCTTTCTCCAGGGTGTGGGCAGGACCCTCAGGATCCAGGAGGGTCTTATGACCTCTGATCAGACAAAGGAGGTCACAGAATATCTCTGTGGCCAGCTGGGGCAGGGAAGATCGGTGTTTCTTTGATCCTTGGGGGATACCTTAGGGAAGAAAAATTCTAGCTTCCGTGCTCTTCCTCAGGGAGGGAGTTAAGAACTAGGAAACATGGATGAGAACTGTGGGTGGGGAGGTGCAGGAAAGTTCTGGATATGTTTTCAAGATAGAACTGAGAGAATTTGCTGACAAGCTAGATTAAGGATATGGCAAAAGGAGGGAATCTAGAAGGGAACCCCAAGTGTTTGGCCTCAACAGCTAGAGGTTAGGAGTATCTTTAAATGGGAAGACTTAAGTGATCACAGGATAGGTCGGGGTTGGATATGAGGTCAAGAATTCACTTGGGGAATTCTAGGGGCAAGATCGGGCAGGTGGCTTGGAGCATGAGCCTGGGAGTTCTGTGTGGAGGTGGCATTTGCTACCTCGAAGCTGGATGAGAACAAGTACCCCGGGGAACGAGTACCTGAGAAGATCAGGACCCTGAGCACCTAGAGGCCATCAGAAAGAGCAGAAGAGGATGCTGTGTGGTCTGCAGGGAAACCAGCTGCCAAGTACTGACAACCAATGGTCAAATCAGGGCGATTGAGAAATGACCATTGCATTTAGCAAAATAGTGGTCATGGTGACCTTGACAAGAGCAGCTCTGGTGGGCTGCTGGGATCATGCCTGACTGGAATAGATTCATGGAGGACAGGGGAGAGGACAGGAGAGTAAGATGGGCAGTGGCTGGAGGAAATGGGGTCAAGGTACGTTGGTAGGTTGTTTGGTTGGTTGGTTGGCTTCTTTCTTTCTTGGGGAAAATAACAGCATGTTTCTGTGCTAATGGGAATGCTGTGGGAGAGGGGGCATTAAAGTTGGGGTGGAGGGGGTCTTCAGGATCCCTGTGCCCTAGAGTAACCCCTGCCATTGGTCTTGCTGGGTGCTATCCAGGCTTCCCCCCACCCTGAGCCTGAGTGTGCTTTAGCACTGTTCCAGGCCGTTATGGGCAAAGCTTTGATAAATGCTCAATGTTCTACGTCCATTTCCGAAGGGGTGTTGAGTGATATAAAATGTACATGTCCTCAGAGCCTTGCTCTTAGGATCCCCAAAGAATTCACACCATTCTTGTTGCTCAAAGGTGATTGTAAGGCTGTGCACATGCCTATAATCCCAGCAGTTTAGGAAGCTAAGGCAGAAGGATCACAAGTTCAAAGCCAACTTCAGCAACTTAGTGAGGCCCTAAGCAACTTAGCAAGTCCCTGTCTCAAAATAAAATATAAGGAGTGCTGGGGATGTGGCTGCGTGGTTAAGCACCACTGAGTTCAGTCCCTGGTACAAAAAAAAAAGATTGTGAGCAACACCATGGCTGGCCATTTGTCTTTTTTTCTCGACATTTTCTGATAATCACCTCTGCACTAGACCAAATATCAGCAGAATCTTACTGTGAAGTTTGTGGAGAGTCAATGTAACTTTGAACCTGTGATTCTCTGTAGCAGAGGCTGGACTCCGCTGTTGTTGGGTGAAAGCTGCCACAGACAACAGATCGGCGCGTGGGCCTGTGCATGCTGGCGTGGCCGGCCTGGCCTCGCTTAGGAGGACCTGTTGTTACCCAGGAAGGCCCATTCTGCCTGCCACCCAGTATGCCAGCCACCGAAGGAATGGGTTTTGCAAAAGAGAAGGAGTTTATTCAGAAGGCAGTCCCAGGTTCACACATGAGGAGCCCCACTGAAGTTCACCTTCCCCAGGGGTAGGGTTTAGGGGTATTTATGGGATAGAAAAAGAGTGATCTGAGAGACTGGAGCAGTAGGACAGGGATGGGAGGCAGGGAAAGTGAACCAGCCACAGTCCATGCAGGTACTATCAGCTACCCATTTCTTCATGGGACCCATGTTCAGAAAATGGCTGCATTAGCTGCTCTGAGTGTGGAGTTTGGAGCCCTCTGATGTCAAAGGTCACCCATCAGAAAGTCACCTGTGCAGGTGCAAGTGCAGATCCGTGGTTTCAGCTGAGTTGAGGAAGGGAGACAAAAAGCTGTCTGAAGATTTTTGAACAACTTGGGTAGCTGTGACCATTGTGACCCTGTCAGACATCATCTGTTGCAAGATCACTGGGGGCACACCACTTGGCTAAAGACCTTTCAATGAAAATAGAAGGGAATGGCTAAAAGCAAGCACAGCGAGAGGTTGAGTCCGGGCTCCCCTGGGCTTGTCTGCATGGTGGGGAGTCTGGGAACTCGTTGGGATTGGAACCATTGTCCCAGATAAGCAGGCAGAGTTTCTTGCACAGTGCAGGAGATCCAGGGCAGGGCTGCCAAGAAGTGCCCGCCTTGAATTCCAGGAGGGCAGGTGCTGGTGCTGCCTGATATCCCAGCAGATTCAGAGCTTCCCTCTCAAGAAGGCCTTGTGGTACCCCATGACCAAGGCCATCTTCTCTGTGAGCTGAGGCATGGATTGGGCTTCTGGCTTCCCACTTGCTGGATAGATAGGCTCTGAATGGAACCTCTCAAAACCTTTGTAAAATCTCTGTAGCAAGAATAACTGTTGCCATTGTTCCCTCTCTACTGACCATATCTAGGATGCTGTAAGTCAGGGCTTGGAGGTTTCACAGTTCCTCACTTTAGAAAGGGAGTTATCTGTGTAGCCAGCTTAAAGCAGGAGATACTCCTGGCTTTGAAATCACTGCTGGTTTTCTGAGCTCGTGACGTTTTCCAGTGGTGCTTTGAGAATGCCTCTTTGACAACAGTCACTTTGAGGTGGTTGTTTTGATGTGGGATCATTCTGATGGGACTGTTCAACCTGATGCCTAAAAAAGAAAAAAGGCAACTCAGTACAAAGCCCAGCAGCCTATTCTGTCTCTGAAGAGGCCCAGGAAGTGGTGGGGCCAGGGAACAGGCTGTGAGTCTGGAAGGGGTGCAGCTGAGGTGGGGCCAGGCCCCAGCCAGACAAGGCGATTAGGATTGCCACAATTGCCTGTCCCAGAAAGGACACCAAGATCCTGAGCATGTCTGCTTGTGGCCTGGGAATGGCCTGTGTCTGGAAGGGATGACATCCTAAATTCTTTCTTCAAGTTAAAAGACCTAAGTGTGTGCCAGGGCAGCAGGGGTGGTGGGGCTTGGGGGGTGGATATTTAAAACACAGCATCATCCTTTATTGCCAGCTCCAGGCTGCACAGGAAATCCTCAATTAGATGTGTAATTGTCGTCTCAGAATGGCTAATAATGTGCATACATTATAGTCAACATCACAAAAATCCCTTTGGTTTTGGGGACAGGGCTGGGCCCCCTTCACAAATGAGCCCAATTCTTACAGAACTTTTAAAAATTTGCAAATTTTTCCTGACTATAAAAGCAATATAAGCTACAGTAGATACTCATAAAAGTCTGATGGCAAAGACATAAGCAAGAACTCATTTTACCACTTGCATGGCAGCTTTTTATTTTTAAGTTGTTGCTGGGGCTTTATTTTATTCATTTATATGTGGTGCTGAGAATTGAACCCAGTGCCTCACAAGTGTGAGTCAAGTGCTCTACCACTGAACCACAACCCCAGCCCTTGCATGGTGGTGTGTTGAGATGGTTTCTAAAAGCCTTCAGATCAGATCTTCCTGTCCCGTCAGTGGTCCCATTCATTGTCCCATTTCATTCTCAGCAGAGCCCTGGGATGTAGGTGGGGCCTTACCTGGGGCCACTTGGGCTGAGAGGGAAACAGGTGTTCATGGCTGGCCAGCAGGCTGCAGGCTTCGCACTCACCTCCAGTGGCAGCTGTGGGTGTCCCAGATCCTGATGAGCCCCTGAGCTGTTCCTAAATTTGCTGTCTCAGACAGCAGGCCTGGCTGGGAACCTGACTGGGCATGGACTGTCTTCTGGAGAGAAGAGGGAAAGCAGTGTTTACAGCTTATTTAGTTTTATTGTTGTTAAATGTATGTTATATTACTATAACATTAAGCAGAACTATCATATATATGAAGTAAACAGAACATGTCTTCTCTCTCCTCATCCTAATCCTGTCCCCTAGGGATGATTGTTCTAGATCACAGTGGGGTATGTCTTGTGTGTCTGAGTAGATTTGTATTCTTGTATACAAACATGTAGATATTCCCCCCTTACCCATGTTTCACCTTCCATAGTGTCAGTACTTGCCCATAGTCAACTGCTCTCTGAAAATATTAACTAGAAAGTTCCAAAAATAAACAATTCAGTTTTAAGTTGCACATCATTCTAAGCAGGATGAGGAAATCTCATGATGTCCTGCTCCATCTTGCTCAGGACATGAATCATCCCCTTGTCTAATGTATCCACACTGTATACACTGCTCACCAATTAGTTAAGAATTGGATTATCTGATTGACTGTCACAGTATTGTAGTGCTTGTGTTCAAGTAACCCTAATTTTATTTAACAGCAGCCCCAAACTTCCGAGTAGTGATGCCAGCTAATCAGATATGCCAAGGAGATAGTATAAAGTGATTCCTTTAAGTGAGAGGATGAGCATTCCCAATAAGGAAAGAAAAAATTATTTTCTGTGTTGCCAAGATCTGGAATGGAAGAATGAAGCTGTGCAATTAATAGTTTTGCTTTCACACTTCAAACTGCATAGATTACAGCCATGATGTGTGATAAGTGCTTATTTATGGAAAAAACAAGCTATAGCGTTTGATACTATATAAGTAAGGTTCCAGGCATCCACTGAGGGTCTGGGAGCATATTCCACAGGGGCAGAGGGTATGACCACGTGTGCGCGTGCACACACACACACACACACACACACATATCCTGTTCTGCAGCTTGCCATTTCTACCCACCAGTGTACAGTAGTCAGGTGTCCATGCCAATCTGTCACGTAGAGATTTAGCTCACTGTTGGGAACCATCTGAAAGCCTTCCTTTTCCCATCCCCGTTTCAGAGGGTCCCCTCTTCCCTTTTCCTTCCCTGTTCATGGGCACAGCTCCGATCTACTAAATCAGACGCTTGGCAGGAATAGGCAGGCTCTGCGCTTAGCTGGAGTCAGGGGAGAATCCAGCCCTGGCAGCTGGCCTTGATGCCCTCCTGCTGTCCTGTGCTTCCACCCAGCCCCTGTGGCCCCTGGGCCACTGCTTCCTCAGCCCTCCCAGGACACTCTCCCTGGCCCTGGCTGCACCAGCCCTTCTGCCCACTCTCCCTGCTCGCACTGTGTGGGCTGTTCTGTTGTGGGTCCCTCCCCTAGCCAGTGAATACTGCGGTGAGTTTACACTTCTCTTGGTTGGCCAATGCTGATGCACCCTTCAACACCTGGCCTTGAAAACATGCAGTGAAAGTTGACCTGAGCAGAGCTCCTGGGTGGAACCGGTGCTGGCTCCCCATCCCCTGGCCCTGAAGTGGTGTTCTGATAGAGCAGGCTGGTGAGGGCTCCATGTCTACAGGTACATGGCCCTTCCTTCATCAGCAGGTGGTGCTGTCCCTCTGGTCTACAGGGGGCGCCCCTGGGCCATCCGTCCTTCCCTCCATGCTTTAAGCCCAGATGTGCCTCTGACCCCTGCTCCCCTCCCCTTGCCTCTCCAGGATGCTGGTGGAGAGGTTCTCTGTGTCCCTGCAAGTCATCCCACCTGTGCATCCGGGTGAGACTGTGTTTCTGCCCAGGCGTCACCCCCTGCCCTGCATTCTGGACTCCTCACATCTAAAGCCACACAACCACCTTGAAGAACTGTTTCTCAGGTAAGTGTGTTGGTGGGGGCAAAGCCTCGCCAGGCCCCTTCCCTCTAGAGCCCAGGGATAAGGGACACCCCAAAAGAGGTCATCCAGAGCCATGTTTTAATCAATGGCTGTGTGCTCTTTTAGGGATACCAGTGACATAGTCATGCCTGTCTACTTATAAAATTTATTAATTTAGCACAAACTATAAAAAATCTTCCACTGTTGCACAAACAATCTGTGAGTGGGGCGCAGCATACAGGGCCTGGGGTTTACGGTTCAGTCAGCCCTGGGACCAGTTTCTGGGCCATCCACAGCAGGGCCCCCTTATCCTTAGTGTCACATTCTGCAGTTTCAGTTACTTGTGGTCAACTGTGGTCTGAAAATATTATATGGAAAATTCCAGAAATAAAAAGTTCATTGATTTAAGTTGTGTCCCATTGTGAACAGCATGATGGAGTCTCAGGCCGTCCTGCTCTGCTCCAACTGCAGAGTGGATCCCCTCTTGCCCGGTGAATCCACACTGTGTTCCAGTTGCCCATGAGTGTCCTTGTAACTATCCCTGTCATCAGAGCTGCTGTTGCAGGGTCTCAGTGTGTTCAGGTGACCTCTGCTTCACAAGAGCAGCAATGCTGGGAGTTCAAACGAGCCCCGGGAACAGAGAAGCACTTCCTTTAAGTGAAAAGGTGAGAGTTCTTGATTTAAGGGAAGAAAAAAGTGATATGCTGTGGGTGCTGCGAGCAGAGGTAAACCAGACCTCCAGTCCAGGGAGCCAGGAAGCAGAACTCTGCTAGCTTTGCCATCACACCTCTACTTACAAAAATTTGGGCCATAGTGTGTGCTAAATGTTTAGTGAAGTTGGAAAAGGTACTAAATTGTAGGGTTTGGTACTATCTACCATTTTGGGCTTCCATTGGGGATCTTAGAACATGCCCCCCACAGGGAATGAGGGAGCACTGTATTTGTTGGAGACGTGGCACCTCCTTGGTCTGTGGGATGCCAACACAGAAATTTTTCCCTAGCCACGGGCACACCTGATAACAGGAGGAAGCTGTCTTGTTCCTCTCCTTTTGGGGAGTAAATGTATCCCTATTACTCATAACCACCTACTAGATTGCTTTTTAAGAGGATTTTTAAATGATTTACCACAATAATGTTCAACACTTAGAGTTGTAAGAAAGAAAAAGTCCACGGGATTCAGTGCAATTGTAGTTTTCCAGGTACCCTGCTGGGTTGGACGACAAGGGAATGTAAAAAGGGCCACCATTGGCCACCTGTAAGGAGCACAGAAGTTGGACTGCTTCTGTGGTCTCTTAGGCCACATTAAGACTTAAACATAGGAATCTTACTCTCTTTTCCAGCCATGCAGGGCTTTCTTATGAATGTTAGTTCATTTTCCATTACAATAACTAAATACCTGAGGCTGGGTACTTATAAAGAAAAAAGCTCATAGTGGAGGCTGAAAGTCCAAACAGCATAGTAATAGTAGTGGTGAGAGCCCATAGTTGCATCATCTCATGGCAGATGGCACTGCATGGTAGGAGTTTGTGAGAGGGAGGGATCTCAGGCCCAGACTGGAAGCCAAAGAAAAAGTTCAGGGAAGGATCCACTAATGACCACTTGAGGCTCCACCTCTGAAACATCCCTACACCTCCTATCATCTCCATGTTGGGGACCAAGCTTCTAAAACTCGACCCTCTAGCATACACACTCACTGTGCTAATCACGGCATTAGGTTTATTTCATTAATTCTGAGTTCATCATATTTTGTAACATAAAGATTATTCTTAATATTTTGATTTTTCCTTTGAAAGTTTTTTTTTTAATTTTTCTTAATGTTATTGTATTTTTTATACCTTTATTTTATTTATTTATTTTTACGTGGTGCTGAGAATTGAACCCAGTGCTTCATACATGCCAGGAAAGCACTTTACCACTGAGCCACAACTGCAGCCCCTCCTTTAAAAGTTTTTATCGTAGAAAATTGCAAACATATAAAAGTAGAGTGAACAGTGGCATTCACCTGTAATCCTAGCTACTTGGGAAAGTAAGGCAGGAGCATTGCAAGTTTGAAGTCAGACTAGGCAACTTAGACCCTGTCTCAAAATTTTTAAATTTTTTTTTAAAGAACTGGGGATATAGCTCAGTGGTAGAACCCTTGCCTAGTGAGGTCCTGGGTTCTATAAAATAAAATTTTATAAGGAAAATAAGAGTAGAGTAGTGAAGAACATAACCTATCTCCATGTATCCTTCTGTCAATTCAGCACGGATCAGCTCAAAGCCAGTCTTTTTCCTTTCTGCTCCACCCAACACCACCATTCCCCCAGAATTACTTTCTAGGAAAATCTCAGACACACATAATTTAATCTGTAAATATTTCAGATTATGTCTCTAGAATATAGCACTCTACTTTTAGACGTAATTTTAATACTACTATTGCACCTAAAAATAGTAATTTCTTATCATTCGTATCAGTCAGTATTAAGATGTCAGGTGTCTTGCCAGGTGAAGTGATGCAAGTGTGTAATCCCAGCTGCTTGGGAGGCTGAGGCAGGAGGATAGCAAGTTCTAAGCCAGCCTCAGCAAATCTGTGAGGCCCTAAACAACTTAGTGAGACCCTATCTCAAAATAAAAAAGGGCTGGAGATGTAGCTCAGTAGTTAAGTGCCCCAAGTTCAATCCCTGGTACAAAAAAAAAAAAATTTTGTTTTTCAGTTGTCTTTTTTTTTTAATATATTTACTTTATTTATTTTTATGTGGTGCTAAAGACTGAACCCAGTACCTCACGTGTGAGGGGCAAACACTCTACCACTGAGCTTTAACCCCAGCGCCTTCAGTTGTCTTTTTTTTTTTAAATATTTTAATGTTTATTTTTCAGTTTTCAGTGGACACAACATCTTTATTTTATTTTTTATGTGGTGCTGAGGATTGAACCCAGCTCCCCGTGCATGCCAGGCAAGCGGGATACCGCTTGAGCCACATCCCCAGCCCCCTTCAGTTGTCTTATCAATGATTTTATGTAGCATCTGAGCTGGCCCAGGCACTGCAGCAAACAGTGTAGTGCCGCTTTGCCCTGGTACCTGGACACCTTAACCATTTTCCTGGCTTTTGGACACACACATTATAAGCCATATGATGGGCATATTCTTTCACAGAAGCACTTGCCTGAAGGTCTAGAGTGTTGCTGGCAGCTGTGTGAGATTATTGGGTGTGCAAGAGCATTGGTCAGGGTTCACATTACGATCTGGAAAAAGGACCTAACAGAACTGATTAAAAAAAAAAAAAAAACTGAAGGAAAAAGAAGAAGGAAGGGTAGTGGAGTTGGAGAAAGAAGAGATACAGACTCTAGGGCAGCCGAGAGAGGGAGGCTCCCTCCCTGCCTCAGCCCCGGGCTGTGCCCACAGCAGGTCTCCCGTCCTGGACTGGCTGGTGGACAGAAGTGTTGACAGATGAGCCCCATATGGAGTGGTGACCCACGATCAGCCAGTGCTGCCAAACAGGGCCAGGTGGCCGCCCAGCTTCCCTCCTCCCTCAGATATGCTAATGAGCCTCCAATCCTGTGGCTTTGGGAATCTGCACAGGGCTTCCTGGAGGAATGCCCTGCCCGCTGTGTGACACTGGGATGTGACATTGTCGGTGGCTCCCGTGGGGCAGTGGGCAAGGGCCACTTCCTGGAGGTCACCATTTAGCCTTGGGTCATCTTTCATTTCCTATTTATGCCAAAGACTTCAAGTTCAGACACAGAATGGGAAAGGTCCTAGTGACCAACAGGACCCTCTCATATTCAGCCAGAGGGTACCAGGTCTTGCAGTGCAGAGAGTTCACACTTTGTGAGCTGGCAGGAGATTTTATTTTCCTAGTTATACGCCTCTGCCTTTTCCAAACTTTCTACAATGAAGGTATAATTTTTATCATTGGAGGGAGAGAAAGTGTTATTTTTTTAAAATCACCTCTTGAAATAGATTCACTTCTCCTTACCCTTCTGTGAAGGGAGAAATATCTTTCTTTTCTCTGAACGAAGTGGGAAATGCCAGCACAGATCAAGCAAGCTGTTCACCTTGGGTCACAGAGCAGGTGCAGGTGGGCTGGGCAGCAGAGTGCAAGAGACCTCCCTGACTGTGGCCTGCACAGGTTTGTGTGGCTGAATGTGTGACCTTGGGTCACTCCCTGGAACCAAAGTAACATGTCCTAATGACAGCAGTTGGTGTCAGCCAATTCCAGGAGCTGAAGTTTTTCCTCCTTCCTTGAGAGCAATTCAAAAGCAAATCAGATTTCCCTAGTGCAGAGCATCAGAGCAGAAATGAGCTCCACAGAAAGGGAGAGGTGGCCTGCCTGGCTGGCTTGCTCACAGGCTTTCCTTAGAGTCCACACATGTCCTCTGGGCACATCTGCCGCTACTGGCATGAGGGTGGGCATGGGGCAGGGTGTTCCTGTGGGAAGACTTCAGCAGGCAGGAAGAAGCAGCAGGAGGGTGAGTCCAGTCTCCTCACCTCGGTGGCACTGCATGTACCTGCACCTTCCCGAGGCCCAGCAGCCCTGGTTCCTGTTCAGATTCGAGCACCTCCTCCTCCTGGAGGGGGCCACCAGGGTTGGAGCTGTGAGTAGCGATCCACCAGCTGTGGGCTGTGGACAGGACTCAGTCCTGCTGGCTGCAAATGCCCCGTGTTATGAATAAAGCAAGCTGGGCCGGTGTTGGGAGCCCTGGGCTTCTGACCAGGTAGCTCTCTTAGCTTTAAACAGAGGAAAGAAAGAAACAGAAGAGGGGTGCAGGAGAAGGCCGGCCCTGTTGTTCTTTGTATTCTGCTTAGGCATTTACTTAAACTTTCTTTTGAAAACCTGGCGAGCGCCCAGAAACCAATACTGTATAAATAACTGCCCTTGGTGTTTATCCTCCTGCCATCACTTGGGATTCGTGAGGCATTTGGAGACTGCCCACTGGGACTGGTGCCCATAAAATAGGCAAGGAGGTAGAAGCTGGAATAATCTTCCCTTGGACATTATCAGGATCATAAATTCCAAGGAGGCCCAGGCTCTGCTCCAACAGCTTGGTGTGCAGAACCAGGCTGGTCCCCTACTTGGTCCATGCTCGTCCTGAGGGCCTCCCCTTTGGGCCAATTTTCTCCCCTTTTTTCCTTCTGTTCCAGCAGGCGGTGATGGGGAGAGACATCTGCCTTCTGTCATTGCCATCATGGCTAGGGATTAGCAGTGCCCTGGCTATGGCTGGACACACAGCTGAGGCCCTCGTGGGAACCTCCCTTCACTGGGACCCTCTGGGGTGACAGCTGGGGCTTCACACTCAGCTGGGCCTGCATGCCATCTGCTGTCCCTCCCCTTCTCCGCCAGGGTCCTTTGGCATTCTCAGGATAACTTTTGACCTCAGTGTTGGCAGAGGCACCCACAGGCCCCCAGCATCAGCATTTTTGTTGTGGAGATATGACACTGGCTTTCTCAAATCTGACAACTCCTGATTCTGTCACCCAAGATTCTTGAGATTCTGCTGTAGACACCTCCCACCTCTTCCCTTTTCCTCATCTCCCTGCTTGGATGCTGGCCTGGGGGGCCCCTTCTTCCTGCCCCAGAGGCAGGACAGTGTGCACACAGGGTCAAGCCCAAGGTTACTTGTGCTGTGAAGGACTCCCTCCCTGGCCGGGTGCAGGGCTGTCTGGGTGGGCAGCACTCCCCTTGTGCTGAACAGGTGCCCCACTTGACTCTGGGGTCCAGCCTGTGTCTCATCTCGCTCCTCGTGATCTCGTGTACTTCTGGACCCAGAATTCCTTGAAAGCCATTTGTTCCAAGGCAGAGCCAGAATGTGCCTTTCCTGGCTGTCTAGTTTCTTATCTCACAGATGAAACCAAGCTCAACAGCAGTGAACTCAAAAGATCTGTCATTTCTCTGGCAGAAACTGCTCTGCAAGGCCTGTGTAGCAGAAGGAAGACTTTGCGACCCAAGAGATCACTCCCTCGGTGCAACAGTTGGAAATGTGTGGCCCAAACCAGCAGGGACTTGTACTGTTGGCTCCCTCTCCAAGAAACTGGCAGGGTACCCCCAGCCCACAGCAGGATACCAGAGCCAGAGTCTCCTCAAAGTTCTCCTCAAAGTGCCTCAATGTGTGGCCTCCTGCAGGGTTCTGCCAACATGCAGGTCCCTACAGACACCCCTCAGTATCATCTGCACTCAGGCTGTAGGGCCTGTGCTTATGCCATACACTTTGGGGTCAGCTGGCCAAAGCACCCCTGTGACTGGGCACGTGGGGTAGCACAGAGCGTGCCCCAGCAGCCCTGGGTGCGCACGTGTTTGGGAGCCCTGAACTTCACGGCCACAGGAACAAAGCCTCTTTCTCCTCTGAACTTAAATGACTTTGAAAAAAAAAAAAACATACAATTTGTAAATTGCCTGGACATCCTCAGGGAGACAGCATCTTGGCTCTGAGGGGAATCTTGGCTTTGGAGTGTTCTGTTCCTGGCAGATGAAAGCGTGACGTCCTTTTCCAAAGGGGTGGGGGCTGAGCGAGGATGGTTCTATCTCGGGTCATGACATTAAATGCTATCTGAGTGTGCTCTGCGTGGATCTGGCCACCAAAAAGAACAAACATAAAATCACTTTCTTGTTTTCCTGGAATCCACGTAGTCGTTGGGGGCATTATCTAGAAAGACAAAGTAATGGAGCAAGTATATAGCGAGTGGGAGCTCCTGCCCTGACCTGGCCTGCCTAGGGGTGACCAGGAGTTTGGGGAATGCACCAGAGTGCGGCCAGCCCCTCTAAATTGACCTCCAAAGCATCTGCCACCAGAGGACCTCTGGCCACATCAGGTACATCTGCCCATTCAGTGGAGACCAGAATCCTGTAGGTCAAGGTGATTTTCCAGGGCTCCTCTCCACATCAGCAATCTGGCTCTGAGGACTCCAGTTAAAGGGAGGGGCCTGGTGGGAAGGCACTGAACGTACTGGCAGGTCACGCCCTGATCCAGGGACAGGGAGTTTCTAAAGAATCCTCTGGGGAACCCTCACTTGGTATTTCCTTCCCAGAATTTCCCCATTCTGGGCCCCTCTCTGTTATTTTCCCATCCTCTCAGGTGTCCCCTTTGTGTTGGAAAAAAAAATACAAGATGGGGAGGAAATGCTCTGTGTAACTGGACCCCGAGGCCTGTGGGTAATCCTGCCTGCCCCCTGCAGCCCTGAGCCACAGGTGGAGAAGCCTGACTCCTCCGTTCTTGCCTCACCTCACCAAGATGCTTGCCCCACCCCTGGTAAATGCCTCAGTTTTCCCCTCCATCAAATGGAAAGGTTGGACTGTACTGCCCACTGCTGTGTTTAACACAGTGAGGCGTATCCTTGGAAAACACTGGAGAAAGGCAAGTCGTTCTGATGATGGCGGTTGGGGGCTGGGGGCGAGGTGGTTTTCCAGACAGCACCTCGTGTCATGGACTCTAAAGCATGTGTCCCTAGTGTTCCAGCATGCCTCATGGCGTCCCAGCAAAGCTGGGACCAGAGTCTCCAAGACAGGTGCCCCTCAAGCCTCTGCTGCAGGAGTCTGCTGGGCCTGCATGGAGCCTCCCCTGACCTCGCCCCTCCGTCTCCACAGCTCCCCAGTGGCACAACAGCTCTCCTTCCTGCACAATGGCCTCCTGAGCAACCTGTACCTGCACACCTCTGACTGCCCGGTGCCTCTGCTCCAGTGGCTGTTCCAGGTGAGTAACACAGACGTACCACCAGGTGGCAGGAGCGCGGCAGCCTCGTGGCCCACAGGCCAGCAGGCAGGAAGGACCAGCCACTTCAATTCGCCTTGCCGCAAGTGCTATGAGGCTGGTCCTGTCCAAGAAGAGGGAAGAAGGTGATGGGCACGAGTCCTCACCTCATCTCACCTAACGTGACAATGCCAGGTTTGGGCCATGTAGGAACCCACCTGTCATGCAGAGCTGGCAACCTCCTGGGCTCCATACTGTCAGAGTGTGTGCCTCTCAGGGTGTCGTCTTTGCCACCAACCCTGCAGCACCTTTTGAATTCTGAGCCGAGGGTCCTTGAGGGAGGGGGCGTTGAGTGTCTGCGTATCCCACAGTGCAGTAGTAGGTGGCTGGGAAAGCCAGGAGCAGCTGCTGCCCCTGCTCCAATTCCTCCCTCCTGCTGGCTGCTGGGAGCATGCATTCTGCCAGGGGCTTGGGACCTTCTCCCTGAGGGTCAGGGAGAAGCAGTAGAGCAACCTGGAGCCAACCCGGATCCGAATGCAGGGCATGAGGATGCTGCCTGGCCTTAGGCCCCACCCACAGCTGTCCCTGTCTGGAGATGGGCAGGTCACAAGTTCCAGCTGGTCCCAGTACTGCCAGTTGGAGCCTGGAGCCCAGCTGTAAATCAGAGCCACCGTGAGGGTGGCTTATTCAAGGAACGCCTCAGCCCGGTCAGCCTGGCCGCCTTCCAGAAAGAGCTCTCGCTGCTGCTCTGGGGTCCTGCACGGTGCTCCTCCCTGCCTCCCAGGAGAAGGGTGCCAGCTCCTGGGGCCCTTGTGTGTGGCTGTTGCCCTCATCCCTAACCCAGGCCTGGGGGATGGCGGATGAAGGGGAAGGAACAGTGTGGTCATTATTCTCTGACCCCGTCTGCGCAGCTTCTCTCTGCTCCTTGCACAGTATGTGACAGAGTGACAATTGGGCATTGGGAAACACAAAGAGACCCTCTAAGGCAGCACCCACAGAGGGTCCCTGTGTGGCCCCGACACCCTGTGGAGCACCCTCCCACAAGGCTCAGTCCTCACAGGCTCTGAGCCCCCAGCCTCGGCCGGCCAGCTGGGTGGAAGAGCCCTCCCTGCCCCTTCTCCTGCCTCTGCTAGGCCAGGGTGGGGGCGTGTCGAGGACTCAGCCCTGTGGCCAACAGCTGAAGTGCAGGCTCTGGCACTGCTTTACGGGTGTCCCCTTGGTTGAATCACCTGGCATCAGCTCTGTGCATACACTGAGCCTATAGTCCCGTGTGGGGGTTAAATGAGTAAGTCCTACAGACCACCCTGCCCTGTGGACCCCCATGCTCTGCTTAGGGCCTGGGCGTCATCCACAAGAAGAAACCAAAGCCTCATGTCTCCTCTGGACTGAAGCCCATCAGTGAGGGGCACACAGGACCTGGGAGCCTTCTGGGGGCACTCGGTACCTCCACACTCGTGCACTTTAGGAAAGGTTTCATCTGGGAGGGGCAGAGAACCCTGGGGGTTCCTTACAGAGATACAGGGGTAGTGGAATCCCAGGTCAGGGATGTGCTGGACCTCAGGAGGAGCTAGAGCCAGGGTCAGGGAAGGGCAGGATCCTAGGTCACTTTCTTCTCCTCCAGTTCCATGGCCAAGTAAGGCCAGGTCCTGTTCCCAAATTGGAATCCCCAGGAAGGAGAGTGTGCTTGGCCTAGGAGAAGCCAAGTGGCCTGTCCCTTCATAGGCAGTTGGATGAGTACAGTGGCAGCAGGGCTGGACTCGTGTGTATGTGAGCTCCATTCTGAGAACTAGGGGCTGGGATGGTCAGCTACTTCCTCTGTGCATTCAACTGCTTCCTGAGGACATCCTGAGTTCTCACGAGGACTCAGTCCTGTGCCTACCTCTTCCCCTTCCCAGGGCCTTCTGTTGGTGTCCTGTGGGCCCTCGTCACCAGGCTTTGGCCCCAGTGCTCTTGACCTCCATGGGCTCATCCCTGGGCCTCATGTGCATCTGCCAGCAGGCCTTCCAGGGAGTGGACAGAAGTAGGCAGCATTCACCCTTGGCAAGTTTATATTCTTATTGGGAGATGTTAAAACATTCAGTTCTGAAATAGTGAAAAGAGGGAAGGAAAGGAGGACGGCCGAGGCCAAGGCTCTGCGGCCGAGTTTCTGCAGGCTTTTTGGGCAGCTCTCCTGGGAACCCTACTGTGAGGGGGTGCAGTGGCAGGCTGGCAGAGTGCTGAGCAGCAGGCAGTGAACTGCAGGAGAGATGCCTGACAGTCATAGTCCAAGGCTGCCTGAGACTAATGGCCATTTAGAGTTGTCCCAGTGGAGGCCAGGGGCCCAGCACTGGCCAGTTAGCAGATGCAGGCTGCCCTTGGAGAGGGGCGTGATCTTGGGTCAGGCACGTCCTCCAGAGTCACTGCCAGAGGACCTCAGCTCAGGGTCCTCTGGTCCTTGTGGGAACAAGAGTCTCAGTTCCCAGAGGGGAGCACCCACAGTGCCTGCCACAGCACTGAGCAGCCCTGTGCAAGAGCCCAACCAGCCGAGGCCTGGCCTTGTCCCTGTGTCCCCAGACTGGATGGCACTCCATTGCTCATCTCCATGTCACACTCTCTCCATGGCCTAAATCCCTAGCACATGGCTCTTGGGCTCAAGGGACATTCAAAAAAGGACCCCAGTGAGTTTGAGTTAGGGGAGCAACTACCCTTAGTTGTTCGAAGATCTGTGCCTAGTGCCCAGGACCAAGCCAGATAAGTTAAAGTGCTGACCTGGACATGATTTGAAGTCACAGCAGGGCCAACGCTGTCATTAGACAGCTGACTGTGGCCAGTGCTTACGAGCCCTTTCTCTTCCCTTCCACTGGCTCCTGCCTTAGAGGGGACATGGCTGTGACAGCAGGGAATGAGGGCAAAAAGACCAAGACCCCACACAGGTCATGTGGAAGGAGATTTCAGGTCACATGCATGTACCCCTGGGCCTCAGTCCTCACATTCCTGCTTACTAGCCGCGTACCCTAGAGAAGCTGTTGATGTCTCTGAGAGTGATTTCCTCGTCTGTAAAGTGGCGATGACGACAGTATCCTCTACCACTTAAACTTGTGAGGACTAAGTGGCATTATTTAATATGAAGAACAGACTTTTGCTGCAGTTACTCCACAGGAATAACCTTTTTTCTTTCCCTAGCTGCTAACATGGCCTCCAGAAACTTCTTCAAGAGCCTTCGACCTCCTGTGGGATCTCAGTGTGGATGGGCTCTTCTGTCAGTCCGGTCAGTACTGGGATGCAGGGCGGAGCAGAGTAGCTTAGCTCTCAGGCTTGTGTAACACATGACTTTGGGTGTCCCTGAAGCCCAGTGGTGGGGACATTGCGTCACCCAAGGTGGAGACATCAGGCTCTTTGGCTCTGGCTCCAGCACTAGTAAAAAGCTGAGTTGACAGGCTTTTGGCACCTTGATCTGGTTTCAGATCCAGGTCACTATGGAAATCCAGGCTGACCTCACAGGCCCTGGGGGTCCTACAGCAGTCCAGGAAGCTGGGCTCAGACCAGGCAGGCCCCAGGTCTAAGGGGACACCTTACCTCCAAGGTCTTGCAAGGGTCCAAGTTTGCCTTGGAGGGTTCCAGGAGCATTGCCTCAAATCAGGGTGACCCCTGGGGCGGGGGCGACCAAGGCGAGTGCCCCAAAGTGCCCCTCCACAGCCCTCCTCCACTGATAGGGCGTTCCTAGAGCCCTGGATTTCTCCAGGCTGCAGTGAGAGCCTCGGTTTGTGCCTCGATGGTGGCATTTGGGGGCGTATTTAGTTCAGAGTCCACAGAAACAGTGTCTTTGCTCCCTTCCCAGCTTGTCTGCCGTTGGTACCTGAACTTAGACACTTTGGCACCAAAAAATATTAAGTAACCAGTTGAAAGTTGCTTAAAGCAGATGGTGAGAGGGATTCACGGGTGCCCAGACCCTGCCTTTGCCCAGCCATAATCACCCACCTGCCTGCCAAAACACGAGCGTGCACGGCGTCTCAGGCCAAGATTGCAGCCTGGCACACTGTCAGCCCCAGCCCTGTGAGAGGTCTGTATTGTGCTTCTCTGCGTTAGGAGGTGGCTGAGCTGGGGGCCATCTGTCAATTGGAGCATTTCAGCCGCCTCCGCCCCTCCCCCAGGGAAGCCTGACTGAAGTCTTCTGAAGAGCAGCAGTCTTCACCCTCTCCCTTTTCCTAACCTCTGCCCCTGCAGCCTGGGCTGCCCTTTGGGGCCCTGGGGCCGCCTCTGCAGCATGCCTGCCCCTTCAGGAACAGAGGCCTCCCTGTCCTGGCCCTCTCCCTGCAGAGGCAAGTGTCTCTTCCACAGAGGCGGGGACATCCCACTCTCCGTTGCCTCTTGTCCCATTTTCCCTGATTCACCCTCTGTCAGGAGCGGCCAGAAAGCAGCTCTTGAGCCCCTGTTCAGCTCACCCCTGCTCCTCCAACTCCAGAGCATTTCCTGTGGATATCACCTAAGAGCCGGATCTGGATTCTCTTCCCTTGCCCAATAGGATAAAGATTGGCCTAGAGAATTCCATGCCTAAGATTAGGATCATCAACAATTCAGGGCAAGTAGAGGCAGGGTCCACAGAATAACTCAGGTAGGGACCCGAGCAGAGATTTGCAGACTGATGGATATTCACTGCAGCATTGTTCACGAGAACCGAAAGGTGGAAGCAACCCACATGTCCATCAATGGGGGAACGGATAAAGCAAATACAGTATATGTGTGTACTGGAATATTATTCAACCTTTAAAAGGAAGAATATTCTGTCACATGCTACAGTGTGGATGAGCCTTGAAAACCTTGTGCTAACTGAAACAAGCCATTCTTAAAAGGCCAAGTGCCTCTTCCTCTTACTCCACTCACATGAGGTCCCTGGAGCAGTCAAAATCTAGAGACAGGATGTGAAATGGAGGCTGCCTGGGGCCAAAAGAGGGAGATGGGAATTGTTAAGTAGATGCAGAACTCCAGTTGGGAAGATGATCGTGATGGCTTCCTGCCAGCGTCAGTGTCCCAAACCCTGTCACACCACATGCTTAGAAATGGTGGAGGTACCGTCAGCCGTTGGGCTCGAAACCAGGATCTTGCCCATGCTAAGCACACGGCCCTCCTCTGAGAGGCAGCTCCAGCCCAGGGAGCATCTCTAAGGGGTGGTTAGGTCCAGGATGGGTGCAGGGGAAAGTCCTGCTCCTCAGGACTTGCCCACAGCGGGGTGTCTGCGGGGCTGCCTCTCCCTCTACTGTACTGTGTGTGGGAGCATGCGCACGTGTGTGTCTTCAAGTCAGCCTGACTTTTCTCATGTAAAATTCTCTCCTTGTCTGTGGTTTGTCGCGGCTGTCATGGGAGACTCTTATGCAAGCGCTTATGTCTCAATCTATTTCCTGAGTCAGGGAGAGCTGATGGGCGCAGGATAGACCTGGGACCAACCTTCAGAGCAGTTACTGTCGGGGATCTGCTGCAGTGCCAGGCTGAGGGCCTGGGTGTCCCGTGGTGCAGTAGTGCAAGGGGTGGTGTGGGGACCAGGTTCCTGGTTGAGAAGTGGCCCGCTTCACTGGTGCTGAGGTCTGGGTGAGTCAGAGAACGAGCGTTCCAGGTGCTGTTCCTCACAGCCATTTATTCGGCAGAGGTGCGCTGAGGGTCTCCTGTGTGCGGGCACCTTGCTGGACGCAGAGGGAGATCAAGGAGTGAAGGAGATATGACTACTGTCCTGGGACAGCACGGTCCAGTGGGATGGCATGAAACAAGCTACTCAGGAGGGTGGGCACGTGACTTCCAGCTGGTGGGGTTGGTGCGTGGAGTGGCAGGAATCAGGACATGCCTTGTAGAAGAGGGGTGCCAGAGCTGTGGCTGGAGAGACACAGGAGGTAGGGATGGTAAACCCGCTTGCCTGCGGGAGTGCAAAGGCAAGAGAGCTCTTCCATGTCAAAAGAGGCTGTCTGCACCGGTATTGGTACAGATGAGTGTGGATCTGGCATCACCAGATCTTTCCGTTTTCAAGAGAAGTTATGTTTTAGTGAGGATCTGTTTTGCCTCTCAGTAACAAACTCCTGATGAAGGTAGTGCTTATCACACATGATAGTAGGTGGGGGTGGGGTCCATGATGTGTTCAACAGATCCATAGCATCAGGCTCAGGCCTATGTGTCCACCCCTTCCACCACTTCCCCTCAGGGCTGCAAAATAGCTGCCATGGCCCCAAGCATCATTTTGTTCCTGAGACAACAGTATTCAAGGTAGAAATGAGGTTATCATTTTGCATACCTTTTTCTTTTTATCAGGACATTCTTTCCATTTTGTTTCATTAGCTTGTGACAGAACTGGGTCACAAGCTTTAAAAGATATTTCCCATATTTTCCAACTGTTGATGCATTTGAATATCCTGGCTCTATCTGAAGAATTTTCATCCTCAGGAATCCTGCCCCTCCAGGGCAGAACCCAAGGAACTCGATTTTCCAGCCTCCTTTCGGATATATGAAGGTTTAGCTTTTGAATTAATCCCCGAACAGTACAATGTAGCAGTTACATACATGGCATGACATTGTGTTAGATGTTGTAAGTAATTTGCAGATGATTTAAGGAATACTGGAGAATGTGCTTAGTTTATATACAAATACTATGCCATCTTACATAAAGATTTGAGCATTCTTAGACCTGCAGAAAGTACTAGAATCAGTTCCCCTAGACAGAAAGGGGTAGTTATATTTTCTTGAGCATCTCAAACATAGTTATAACAGCTCCTTCACATCCTTTGTCCGTCATTCTAATGTCCGGTGGTGGTGGTTGTTTTTGGTACTGGGGATTGAACCCAGAGGTGCTCTACCAATGAGCTACATTCCCAGTCCCTTTTTATTTATTTTGAGGCAGGCACTTCCTGTGTTGCTGATGCTGGCCTCAAACTTGTAATCCTTCTGCCTCAGCCTCCCAAATAGCTGGAATTACCGGAGTGTACCACCACACCTAGCAACATTTAGGTCACTTAAATCATCAGGTGGAAAACTCAGAATAAAAGTAAACCTTTCTTTAGAATGACTAAAGAAATCATCCCAAATCCTGGACTCTGAGATCTTTCTCCTAGATCTCTTCAGGTACTTTCCAGAAATGCTCATGTAGAAATGCTTCCAGATTGCAACTTGTCTTCCCTACCTACCCTAGAGTACTCACTGGGGCCCGTGCAAGTGAGGGGCCTAAGCCTTGGCTTAATTAGCTTTATGGTAAACTGGCCACTGGTATGTAATAAACCTGATTTCTGCTGAAATGGTCAGGGCCTGTTTCTGTTGCTTGTGGCTCAGAGCTTGGACTTCTGCAGTAGTCACTCTTATCCCAATCTCTGTGGAAGCAGATGGAATGGCTCTTCAACTGGGGTGGACTCACTCTCCTCGCCCTGAGCCGACGCTGGCACAAAACTGGGGTTCCCATGCAGGGAAGGAGTGCATATGGCTCTTGGACCAGCAGCCCGCAGAATATGCCACAGCTAAATACAGATGTTGATGTGAAATCTCCTCTTAGAACTAGATGACTTTTAAAGAGAAGAGAAGCAGGAGGAGGGGGCTTCCTCACAAGGGCAGAGTGGGGCAGGGTGGAGCAGAGGGAGCGCCCAGTGAACCTGTGCTCCAGATGAGCAAGGTCCTACCAAACACCACCACCAAACAAACTAGCTGAAAGATCTCCGGAGAGAACACAGGGGCCACTGAGGCACAGGGAAGCTTTAATAATATTTGACGAGACCAGAGTGGAATTGTGGGGGTTTCCCCCCCGCCCACGTACTACACAGTTAATCCTTTTATAGTGCGTAATTTTGTGGTTCTTAGTACATTCACAGAGTTCAACTGTCACTACTGTCTAATTCCAGAACATTCTCATGACCCCCCCAAAGTAACTCGTTCCCATCAGCAGCCCCTGCCCATGATTCCCTTCTTCCCCAGCTCCTGGCAGCCTTGGTCCACCTTCTGTCTCTGTGGATTTGCCTCTTCTGGATATTTCCCATAGAGGGAATCTTGGAGTGTGCACTTTTGGTATCCTGCCCCTTTCCCAACCAGGTGTGTTCAAGGTCCATGCAGGTCCCAGCACTCCATTCCTCTCCGGGCTGACTATGGTTCCATTGCACAGGTGACCACATTGTGCGGATCTGCTCAACAGATGACAGACACGTGGGGTGTTTCCCCTTTTGGTGATTGTGAGTTTATGAGCACCTGCATGCAGGTGTTTGGGCATATGATTTCAATTTGGTCCAGTCTAGTCTCAGGAGAAGAATTGTG